TATTTTTTTAAATTATAAAAATTGGGATTACATTGTATACTTACAATTTTTTTTTAATTCAGTTAATTAGGACATCGGACATTTTCATTATCTGCTCGTATAGATTTACCTCATTCTTTCTAACTACTTCATAAAATTCCTTTGGCTGTATCATAAAAGGCATTAAAATTATTAGCAGCCAGGTACAGTGGTTCATGCCTGTAATCCCAGCACTTTGGGAAGCCAAGGTGGGAGGATTGCTTGAGGCCAGCAGTTCAAGACCATCCTGGCAACATGGCAAGATCCCATCTCTACAAAATGTGTATAAAAAAGAAATTAGCTTGTGGCGGTCCGCACCTGTAGTCCCCACTGCCTGGGAGGCTGAGGCGGGAGGATCACGTGAGCAACAGATGTTTGAGGTTTCAGTGAGCTATTATCAGGCGACCACATTCCAGCCTGAGTGACAGAGTGAGACCATGTCTCTTTTTAAAAATAAATAAATAGATAAAATTATTAGGAGGTTTTTTGCTATTACCAAAAACAAAAATCAAAAAACCCACAATTACCAAGTTAATATTCTTAGATAAATCTGGTAGTATAGATCCTAAAAGGTTCAATTGCTGAATCGAAAAGGTGTGCATATTTAAAATTTTGATAGTACCAAAATGTACCATTTTGTCCTCCAAAAATGCCCTTCAAATTATTGCTTCATAATTTCGCTAACATACTGAAGGCATGTTTCCTTTTAGATTGATTTGACTGGATTATTACCAATCCGTAGTTTGTAAATTTGATAAATGGAAGTTGATGTTTCCAGAATTTTCATTTCCTTTATCGGTAGTGGTATGGAACATCTTTTACTTGTTCTGTGAATTGTCTTTTATTTTTTTGTCCATGTAGTTTTTGATATAGGAAATCTTTGTATTTTATGGATAAGTTTTTATCTGTCAGATATTGCGTTTTTTTCTAAGGCATTTAAAAAATGCATTCAATGTCTTTTGCCATTAAGAAGTTACATTTTTATATTCAGATCTAACACTTTTGGTGTGGCCTCCAAGGTTTTCTTTTTAGTATTTCTACAGGTGTGGGATTTTATTTATTTATTTATTTATTCATTCATTCATTCATTCATTCATTCATTCATTTATTTATTTATTTATAAGACGGTCTTGCTGTGTTGCCACCTGGGCTAGAGTGCAGTGGCATCACCATAGCTCACAGCAACCTCAGACTCCTGGGTTAAAGCGGTCCGCCTGTGTCAGCCTCCTGAGTAGCTAGGACTGCAGGGACATGCCAACATGACTGGCTAATTTTTATGTTTTTTTCCGTAGAGGTGGGGTCTCGCTGTGTTGCTCTGGTTGGTCTCAAACTCCTGGCCTCAATTGATCCTCCCACCTCGGCCTCCCAAAGTGCTAAGGTTACAGGCATGAGCCACTGTGCCTGACCAGTATTCAGGTTTTTAATCCAACTTGTTACATTTTCTAGGATAATTTATTGCATAGTGTGTTATTTTTTAGTGTATCAGTTTTTATTTGTCATTGGCTATTTTCTTTCTGCAGTAATAACAGCTGACACTTGCATAGAACTAATTTATATAATTAATGTGCTTTTTTGTGTTTTAAGTTTATTTCTTTTTAAATAGTTTCTTTTATTTGTCTATAATACGTTCAGATTAGGCATTTCAGACATCCATCCTGAAGTTTTATTTCTCTGTTTTCCGTTTATGTGTGTGTGTGTGTGTATGTATATATGTAATCATTGCTTTGATTTTTTACTTTTGTTTTTTGTGTGTTTGCATTCTTTTTGTAGTTTTTACATCTTCATTTATGCTTCTAGTTATTTTTCTTACACTAAGGGGAAAACTTATGTTTCTTCATTGTTAAGATCTGTTCTTTCTCTTTGTCTTTTTTCTTTAATTCTGTCTCTTGCGTACTGCTGTTTTTACTTTTTTCTTTATCATATCTTTTTTTCTTTGCCTTTTTTTGGTCTCATTTCATTTATCCAGGTTCCCACCAAAAGTACTAGACTCATGTAG